GGATTTTTAAGTCGCGCCGCCACTTTCCCGGGCTCCGTATACGTCCTGTTATCGTCGCGATACCCGAGAGCCGTGAGCGAACGTGGCGCGCCGCCAACACCGTAGACATCGCGCTATCGTCCTACGGACCGGGGATTACGGTCGTCGATCCTTAACCTCAAAAATAAATAAGACAACGATGTCGTTGAAAAAGGATAGCAAGAGTATTCTGTGTTGAAGAACGTGATCGAGCTTTAAAGTGGAACGGTGAAGGTTTTACTCACAGGTGGGACAGCCGGAGGATAATAACACGAGTATTAAGCGTGGAGTTAGTTTTTCGGCCTCGTCCAGGACACGGTTACGTGTCGTACGTTCCGTGGCCGCACGGTGAAGTGTGCTACTTCGATAGGTAACAGGGTTCAGGTGTACGTTGACCCAGAAGTGAGTAGTGTTCGGGACGGATAGCGACGACAACGAAAGGTAGACCCTGGCACGATGCAGACGCAGGCCGCTACGAGGGGACCGACTCACTTGGTCGCCCTTTATGTGGCGACGGCGGGTCTCCAGGGTAACGCTCTCGGCTCCGACGAGGAAGAGATCACACTGTTGGTTTACGTGCTCATCGACGTGCAACAGAACAGGGTACGTTTCTACGCCGATGGTTTAAGCAAAATTTAAGAGAAAGACGAACGAAAGATCGTCGAAGCAACGATAAGGTAAATTTAAATTACGCTCGTTCGTCCATTTGTCAATCGTCAAAGTCGTTTGAAAACAGACGGTTTATTATATATATATATATATATAATAAATATATATATATATATATATATATCATAGAATATGTATATTCTTGCGAACTTTGCTCGGCGTTCGAATGGAATTCTAGCAACAACTTTCTAGATACGTATTTCAATTTGCGTCGGTCGAATTACTCGCTACCGTTTGGAGGAAAAATTAGAGATACGTACGCGGTAGGAAGAAAGAAAATCGGTGATTACGCCAACTGTTTGCCAACTAACGCGCTAAAATTGCCTTTTGATAAAGTTCAGCCGTACGTACTGCTAAAAATGATTCACGGATTCCCGTCGTTTGCGTTTGTTGCATGCGCTTTTTACGACCATCCAAGTGACATATGCATCGATCTATGTTACGTACGTACGCGAGACTTCGAACGATCTTTACGTTGGTCACGGAAAATGATTCACATACGCTATAATAATACGCTCGAAAGGTGTTCTTTCACAGACGATCGTCGTTCGAGTTTCCTCGTCGGACACGATGTTTTTCCTTCGTATTTCTTCGTTCGATTCGAACCGATCGCCGTTGAACGG